TTAGTAAAATAAAGACTCACAAATGCAAATTTTGAAGATAAAGCTGGGGTCAGGTGGAGTGCTGTTATCTGATGGAGAAGAAGATCTCAAGAGTTACACCAGCAATCTTTATTTATATGTGTCTCATTATCAGGTTAGAGACTATGCAAGTATTATTCTTTTTTATTCAGGAAAGTTAAAGAACTAGAAACCTATACAGTTTTTCCACAGTTGCAATACAGAGTTGCAATGTGCAATGTTAAGAGCTTAGTGAAGTGCTCAAGAAATTCATTGTTGCAATTTACTATTAAATGGGCAGGCTTAGGAGTAGCAAAGCTGGTGAAACATTGTGGCTGTCTAGCATGGGAATTCCTTTATTCCCAGGGAGCTATATGCCTGAGATCAAGGTCAAAGCTGATAAGACTCTTTCACAGAGCCTCCTTAGGCAGGGTGTTACCATAGGAACTGGGAAACCTATGCTCTTACACAGAATGCACAGAAACATTTTCAGGCACCAGTCATGAGGTCATCGGAGTCCCCCAATCTCAGTCACTGTTCTCTATTCTGTCACAGCTCTCCATATATATCCTCATGTATCTTGTAACTATACAGAACTGGTTTATCACCAGCAACTTGAGAGTCGGAGTCAGGAGGATTTTAAGTTCAAAGCCAGCCTTAGCAACTTAGAAAAGCCCTAATCAACTTAGTGAAACACTGTCTCAAAATAAAAATCTGTGAAACACGAGGCTGTGTATGTAACTTAGTGGTTAAGTGCCCCTGGGTTCCATGACCAGTACCAAAACCAAACAACCACCAAATAAACAAAAAACATAACACACAGATATGGTTTATCAGTTCTAAGAATTTTTTTTAGTGTAGTCTCTTGGTTTTGCTATATATTTGTTTATGTCCTCAAAAATGGCACATTTTGAGTATTCTTCCCAACTTATATCCTCATAATTTCTTTGAATATAAATTTGAATACTAGTTAAATAAAAGTGTGGGAATTGGAACTTTTTTTTTTTTTACTCCAAGTCTTAGAGGAAAAGCTTTCAACGTTTTCCGATTCAGTCTGATATGAGTGGTTGACTTGTACACCTGGACTTTATGATATTGGGGTAAGTTCAATCTATACCTAATTTGCTCTGAGTTTTCAATCATGAAGGAATATTTCCATAAAAATACCAGACATGAAGACCTACTTTTATGGTCTAGATATAATGTGTCCCCCATAATCTCATGTATGACTCAATGCAAGAATGTTCAGAGGAGGAATGATTGAATTATGAGAGTCTTAATCCAATAGGTGACTTAATCTCCTGGTGGGATTAACTAAATGGAAACTGAAGGTGGGTGGGTTGTGGCTGGAAGAGGTGGGACACTTTTGTATCTGGCATATGCTTCTTGATTATCATGTGTGGAGCTTCTCTCCACTACACTCTTCCACCATGATGTTGTGCCTCACATTGAGCTCTAAGGAATTGAGCCTGCTATCTTTGGATTGAAACTTCTGAAACTGTGAGCCCCAGACAAGCTTTTTCTCTTCTAAAATTGTTCTTGTCAGACCTTTTAGTCACAGCAGCAAAAAAGCTAACTAAAACAGAAAGTGGTACTGAGAAGTGGGGCCTTTGCTGTGACCATGTTGTTTGGAAGCTTTTGGGGATTCTTGGAATCTGGGGGAGGAATTTGAGCTGTTTAGTAGTGCAGGCTGCAAATGTTTTAGATTGTTGTAAGCAGAGCTTAATCGCTGATTCTGGTGGGAGCTCAGGATACCAGAATGCCAATAGAACCATGGATGTAAAGACAGGGCTCAAGAGGTTTCAGAAAAAAAGAGCTGTATTGGAATTTGCAGTACAGACCATTTGTGTTATGTTCTGTCTGAGAAGTTGTCTGCATTTTGCCCATATCTGTGAGGCTGATTTAAAAGGCATGGACTCTTTAATATGGTGAAATAAGTATCTAGGCAGCATAGAATTTGGATGGTGGTATACAAGTTGCTGGTGGCTTTTAACCACAATTATTGTGATAATCAAGAAAAGAAAGCAGAGCAGAAAGATTTGAAAAACTTTGACTTGGAAGATGAGAGTAAAACTGGGTCTATGGAAGTTGCTGTTGTGAAAAACATTACTACATTAAAATGCTAAAACTTTTTCCTAGAGACAATAAGAAAGATGGCTATAGAGCATCACAGAAAATGGCAAGATCATATCCATCTCAGACTCAAGAAAGTCGAAGTAAAACTTCTCTTGAGAAGAGTCCAGTGGGGACCCCTTCTTGCAGGAGGGGACCTAGGAGTTTTTTTTTTTAACAGAGTAATATACCCAGGCACTCAGAAGCTGCTGCAGCCAGGGTCCCTGGAGGATTTGCTGATGTTCAAGATGCTCGCAGACCTTGCTGTCAACCACCTGGTTCTGCAGGAATGTTACATGGTGGAGTCTGGAGGTCAGGGAAGGCTTTATTGAGATTTCAAATTAAGGTATGCAAGTCCAGAAAAGTGCAGCAGCATCATAGTTCCTGAAAGCAAGGAGGGCAATGCATACAGATGTGAGGAAGAAGCAAAAGCTGCAGTGGAGACCCTCAAGAATAAGAAATTCCAGTACCATGGAATATCCAATGAGAAAGGCTGAAGCAACTGAGGTGAATCAAACCAACAGAAAGGCCACATGGGCTACAGTCAACAAGGCCACAGATTGGAGTTAAACAAGCCCTTTGGACAGAACACTATGCCATGTGCCCCAGATGCCAGATGTGGAACTACAGGACTTGTTTGCCTAGCTGGATTTAGACTTCCTGAACTCCCTGTACATTTATATTTTGGATGCATGTTCATTGCTTTTGATTTTTTACAGGAGCTCATGATATGAGCCTACCCTGAGTCTCAGAGGAGATTTTTTTTAAGAAAAGAGGTGATAGTAGGGATTGAAAAGGAGCAAATTATTTTCTATGCATCTATGGTTTTGTGAAAATGAATTCCACTATTATATGAAAGTATAATGCACTAATAAAAACATTCTTTTAAATTGAAAAGAGAAGCCATATGATCCAGCAATTCTACTACTGAGAATATACCCAAAGAACATGAAATCAGTGTGCCAAAAGATACCTGCGTGCTCATGTTCACTGCAGCCCTATTCACAATAGCTAAAAAGTGGAAATAAGCTAGGTCTTCATAGATGAATGAATGTATAAATAAAATATATATTCATATGTATACATATATATATTCATAAAGAAAAATCAGAAGGACGAGGGGTGCAAGGTGGGGAGAGGGGAGGCAATGGAATGTGGAGTAATGGGGATTGAAATGGAGTGAATTACATTTCACGCATGTATGAATATGTCACAATAAACTCCACTACAATATATAAGTATAAGTCACTGATAAAAAATATTTGAATTTTTTAAAATGCAAGAGCCTAGAAATTAGTGGAATGAAAACAGAAATGAAATCCTATCATTTGCAACAACATGGATGGATCTGGAGGTCTATATGTTAAGTGAAATAAAACAGGCCCAGAAAGACAAGTATTGCATATCATACCTATAAAGAATCTTAAAAATTGAGAGTACAATGATTTTTCCAAAAGGTAGGGAGAATGTAGTGGAGAGATGGCAAAAGTTTGATCGATGTGTACAAAAATGACAGTTTGATGGGAGTATAAAATTTTGGTGTGCTATTGTACAGTGGGGAGATTATAGCTCACAATAATGTGCTGTACATTTTTAAGAGTTCTATTAATAATAATTTTAATACTTTTCACCATGAAAGAAATGATAAGGGCTGGAGCTCTGGCTTAGTGGTAGAGCATATGCCTTGCATGTTTGAGGCACTGGGGCTGATCCCCAGCATCACATTAAAAAAACCTACATAAACAAAAAGAATTGTGTCCATCACAACTAAGAATATTTTTAATAAAAGAAATGGTAAATGTTTAAGAAAACAGATGTTTGGCCTGATTTAAATACCATGCAATGTATACATGTGTCAAAACATAAAAGGGTTCACAAAATATGTACATTGTTAATGTTTTTATATATGACTTAAAAAAATTTCATTTAAATTCTCAAAAAGTAATTTCCTGAAAGAATTTGTGCATTCTGGACAGAAATCTGCATTTTAAGATGTTTCACAGGTGATGGATTTATGGTAAAAGAATAAAAACCTCTAGTTTGCATAATTAATTCCAGATATTTTGTTTGGTTGCTTGTTTTGGTTTTGTTCAGCCAGTTCAACTCCTACCATTATTAACCTGCATGTTCTTCACCTTTGGAATATCCTGCAGGTACAGTTATGTCAAACCTTTTTATATAATTAGGTACTTATATTTATGTACTTTCTTGTTCAGAAACTGTCCTTTTAATCATTCATTGTCTCAGAAATTCTCCTTCACAAGTTCAAAGTTTTACTTCTTGAGGGATGACTCTCCTGTCCCATTCTACCAAGGAATAATTAAATATTTTCTGTGAAATTGTTTATGTGTCTCTCTCTCACTAACTGGAACATAAGACCTTATAACAGCAAACTCATATACTGTTTCCAAATTTGTAATTAAGCACATAAATATATTGATATAAAAGGCCAAAAATGCTATTTGAATAAATTAATAAATCTGATTAAATAAACGATGGCATAAAAGTTCTGTTTCCTTCCTCCCTGTCCCTTATACTTGTTTCCATATTTCAAAACTTTAAAATCACTGTCACTATTTAAACTGAAACAAAATTTCAGTTACCAACAGTCAGCATTTACATTCAATATCTCATTTTCCTTTATTTTAACCAAGAATATTTATCAATAACTTCTAGTGAAAGAAAATTCAGTCCTAACTAAGAAAAGCCATGCTCTGTTCTTTACACAGTAATATCAGAAAGCTTTTTACTTTTGAGGTTCCAACATTCCTTTTCTAAAAAGGACAGATCATTGAAAGGTATGGGTCATTTGGAGATTACATCCGCTGAAAGTCCACTGTTAACTTTTCGTAAAGCTCAAAGATCAGAATCATTCACAGAGTAATCTTTTAAGCAGGTTCAGTTGTCAGCAAGTAGAAGTCTTTTTTCCAAATATTTCCAAATATTTCTGTAACTTTATTGAAATTTTCTGCCTGTCTAAATACATTATTCTGCAGCAGTGAGTCATAGCCCATCAAGGAGAAAGTTGAATGAGGATCAACATATTATAGGCCTTGGAAAAGAAAGCATTTTCTCTTTCTGAATTTGCCTTCATAAAGGGATTCCTTCAGGTGAGCCCCTGTTCAGCCTCAATGTCCTTTGAAGAGCTCCTGGATCAAGCTGGAAGCCTGGGGAGATTCCAAATCTTTCAGTTAGTTCTCTTTTGTATCACCAACATCCTAACATACCCACATATTGTACTGGAGAATTTCACTGCAGCAACTCCTGATCATCGCTGCTGGGTCCAGATTCTGGACAATGACACTGTCTCTGGTAATGAAACCAGGACTTTCAGCCAAGATGCCCTCCTGAGGATCTCCATTCCCCTGGACTCAAACCTGAAACCAGAGAAATGCCGTCGCTTCATCCATCCTCAGTGGCAGCTCCTTCAAATAAACGAAACTCTCATCAACACAGTTGAGGCAGACACGGAGCCCTGTGTGGATGGCTGGGTGTATGACAGAAGCTACTTCCCCTCCACCATCATAACTGAGGTAAGGTGCCTCATCTCAATATACTATTTGTATGATTAAAGAGTTTGGAGGTAATACCAAGAAGGGACTTGCTTTATACATTTAGTCCTTCTGCAGGTAGCAATTGCTTATCTACTTACTCTATGATGCTGTTGAGAATGTACAGTATTGGAGTTAATAAACTGAACAAACAAAACATATACCTATAATTATCATTTAATCTAGTGAGAAAGATCTATAATTTTAAAAGTATACAAATGTTATACTAAGTCAGTGGTTCTCAATACTTGCTGAAAAACTGACCCTGAGAGCAAATCTGGGCATAGGATGCAAACACTAATTTTTTGATGTTCTTTAAGTGATTCAATGTGTGGCCAAGGATGAGAGATATTGTAGTAGTTGAAGTATGGACTGCTAAGAAAAGTCAAAGGCAGGACCCTAAGTCATTTACATGATGAGAAAAAAAGTTAGGGTTTAAAAATTTTTGTAACTCTGTTTTTATATGTTTTAATTGTAGTAGGTAAAGAATGTGTATAATGGAATAAAGAGAGTTGGCAGCCTGAAGCTAAATATGAATAAAGACATGAAGAAAAAAGGTGCAGAACATTGGAAGGTTATAAGGCAAGAGAGAGGCAAGTGCACTTGAAGGGCTGAAATAAGTGGAGGACGGGCGACCAGGGGAGAGTGACTGTAGGTGAAGCTGGGGATTGGGGCAGGATCCACAAAACAGAGATCATATGTGGGAGTTTACACTCTGTTTTCACTGCCTGCAAAGATTTTTAAAGGCTCAAAACCTTCTAAAACTCCAATGTGCTTTTTAAATTCTCTTCCAGTGGGACCTGGTTTGTGAATCCCAGTCATTAAAATCAGTGGTTCAAACTCTGTTTATGACTGGGTCACTGTTGGGAAGTCTGATATATAGCCTTCTTTCAGACAGGTGAGTGTCACCTCACTTTCTTTTAGACTGTTGGTAAAATTAAGTATTCAGTACATACTTATTTCTTTATTGAAGAAATCTTGACAAGGTCTCTGTGCTTTGCACTGAACTGTTTACTGGACTCACTTTCTGATTCTAGGAAACTAAGTATTAGCACTTAATACATACACTGGAAGTTAAGACTTGAGAAAAATTCATTGTTCTGCATTAAGGAGGACAGAAAAGGTTATGTCAATCATACTAGTTTCAGGGAGCAATTTGCAGAGCAAATCCAGAATGTGAGGTGTATGAGTAACAGTTAGTTCAACAAAGGGAAAGAAAGGAGAGTTCAGGGAGAAGGCACTTCCATGATTAAAAGTATGTTCCTGGTCTTGGCAATATTCTGAACCACCTAGACCCTGTAAGATAAATGAGCATAGATACTTTTATACTGGCCATCATTTCACACATGCAGTGTAGGCACACATACAGAGGTAATCATCATTATAAAATCTGAATCTGAGGATTGAGTAGCACTGTGTCCCTGATGGGATGGTAAGTCACTGGACCTTTAACCTGGATGCTGGTCCTTGTGAAATGACTTTAATAGGTAACATTTGTAACCAGAAAAGGTAATTATTAAGAAGTTAGGAGGATGAAACTTGGAGGTGAGAAGTTTGTGGCTTCTAGCACCCTGGCAGAGCTACAGAAGGCTGTCAACCATGGCTGTCATCCACACATGTGTCCCACAAGAACACTGATGGGAGTGCTGATTCTGAAATCCACCTAGTATTCTCAGTTTAAAATTGTGACTTTGAGCATACACAGATAATTGGTGCCTGTATGGCTTTCTAGATCAAGTGTTCATTTTCCCCTGATTTTCAAGTTTCTGTACTACCAATTTATACTGGATAATGAATAAACAATACTGTTAAATGAAAAATATGAATAAGTAAGTTTTCTTTGAGCATAGATTCAGGTTACTATCCATAAACAGTAGAATAAAAAATGTATTATATTCATATAAATTTCTATTGAGCCACAAGAAAGAACAAACTACTGCCACATGCAATAACAGGGGCAATATTACATAACCCAGGACTATATAATACATGATTTCAAGTTCCATGAAGATCAAAGCATACAGAATAATATATGGTATTAAAGTTCATGATATTAGATATTTTTGGTGAGAATGGTGTCCAGGAGAATGTCTGAGAACAACAACTTCTTCATGAGACTGATGTTCTATTGATTTAGGACTGGTTAAATAGATAGAGTGGTTTTGTGAAAATAATTAAACTTGAAAACATTTGTTATCTACACTTTTATGTTTAATGTAAACCTCAATGAAATGCTTAATAAGTGATGTAACAATGGTAGGGATGTGACTATTGGATTTGGAGTATAATTTGATAGAAGGCAATAGTAGCAGCTAGGAGATTAGTTGTAAAAGGATTAACTTCAGTACTGATGACAGAGATTTGTAAATTGGCCCTTTCAGATCTAAAGTAGTAAATGATAGAAGTCAGTAAAGAGACTTACTTTATTAATTATTTTACTTCACAAATTTAGGGAGTACATTAATTTGGTGTATTTATATACATTAAATACATACAAACAGTGTGTAATTATCACAACAATATGGTTAATATTTCCATCACCTTAAACATTTAAAAAAATGTCTATAAACACATAATATCTATGTGATATTTCATTATGTGTATACCATATATACTGATAAAATCCGGGTAATGAACGTTTATTTATGTCTCCTTATCAATATTTTGGTATACAGCTTTCAAGCTCCTCTCTTCTAGTGATTCATAGAATATACTATTGGTTATTGTGAACTATAGTCACCCAGCTTTGCTGTAGAACATTAGAATTCATTAGTGCCATCCACTTGTGTTTTGGTGTCAATTATTCAACTACCTTCTACCCACCCACCTCTCCCTGCTTCTAGTACCAGAAGTTATGGAGTTCAACCCCCCTATCAAATGAAGGGACCTCTGTATTCCTGACAAATAACCACCCAGTTTTAGAACACTTTAGAGTATGTTTAGCTCACATTTGAAGCTAGCATTTGACTTGCATTAATAATCCATATTTCATCCACACACTATGTTGACCTGTGCCTTCTCAAGCTTGAAAATTTTCTGCTTTTCTTACCCAGGTAATATCCAGTGAGTTTCTGTCACACATAGAATAAAACCCTGAGTTTTTTGAATCAAGTATTGCCATTCTATGATATGGCCCCAGCCTCCCTTCCTCACCTTGTCTACCCGCTTCTCCATTCTGCTAGTCTTCAGAACATCTAGCTGGATTCTACCACATGGCATTTACATTTTATATTCCTTCTGCCTATAATACTTTTCCCTGTGCACTTGTCAGCCCAACTTCTAGGTTCTCAGATTCAAATCTTACCTTCTGAAACGTCTCTTCCCTGATTCCCTATTTAGTGGCACTTCTACCCAAGTTATTCTTGTTGCAATTCCCAGCCTTTAAATTTAATGGGTGTGTGGGCTCTCTCTTGTCCAGCAAGGAGGTCCACAAAACTGGGTAGAGGAGTGTGTGGCTGTGGAGTCACTAAACAAGATCTCTGGAGACCAAGCAGGAAGCAGGTCTGATTTTATTGCACAGTTACCACGTATTTATACTAGGGCAATAGCTAAGCAGATTACAGGCAGCCACCAATGCAATTTCTGATAACTGTCCTTGAAGCAGCCAATTGAGGAGTGAGCCATGGAGCAAGCACAGGCCTCACACCCATGGCCTCACACCCAGGGCTGTGCCTACAGGGTAAGCAGTCTGCCACTCACATGCCTAGCATGAGTGGAGTGGCCTGCCACTCAGATGCCCTTAATGTATGGCATGTATGCAGTACTCCATGCACTTATCCCCACAAATGGGAATTTTATTACTCTTCCTTTTAAATGCCTTATTTCTCCACTGAGTGGTAACAAGGACCATTTTCAGCAGATTGAAGTTTCCCGGAAGAAAGATGATAGGAGTCTGAAGTAAGTAGATATCATGGAGATGGAATGATGGAGATGGATTTGGGGAATGTTTTAGAAGTAGAGGAATCCTGGAGATTAAGATTATTTTCCATTATTATAGAGCTTCTAGTGAGATAAATGGAAGAATTAAAGAGGATATAAGCTTCTAACCCAAAAATATGACTAGACTCTAGACTTAATGCCACTATAGAAGATGGAAGAGAACTAGAGAAGAAGTGGAGAAATGTTGGTGGAGAAATTCAAGACATCTTTTTTGGACTTGCTGAGTGGAGGCTATTTGGCATTGTTTCAGTCAGCTTTTTTGGTGCTGTGACTAAAATATCAACAATAACAAATTTAGAAGCTCTTAGGGCTCACAGTTTCAGAGTTCTCAGTCCATAGGTGGCTGACTCCATTCCTTGAAGTATCATGGTGGAAGAATATGGTGGAGGAAAGTATTAGCTAGGAACATGGCAAAATATAATCTACGAAGACAAAATATAATCTACGAAGGCATACCACCTATCTTTTCTAACCACATGCTACTCAACTATAGTTACCACCCAGTTAATCCATTCAACTGGATTTATGCACCAATTAGTTAATATTCTCATAACCCAATAATTTCACCTCTGCACTTCCTTGGATTGTCTCATGCACATCAACTTTTTGGGAACAGCTCACATTTGTTCACATCTAAACCATAATGGACATATACATGTAGATTCAGGTATCTATTTGTACACGTACATTTGGGTCATAGAAGAGTTCAAGGCTATGAATATCTTGAAATTTTCTATCACACAAATATTTATTTAGTTAGAGGAGTGAGGATAGGAAAAATGTCAATACAGCACAGTGATACAAAGTAGTTTAAACCTGCCTAAAGCAATAACTCACCATGTGCACCATTCTACATTACTGTAACTGAACAGGTCTCACGTGATCAGGCAAGTTTTCCAGTCCTGACATGACATCTTTCTTCTTCAGATTTCAAATACATACAAATTTATTTATTATGTACAATTCAGTATCCATCTATACTTTTCTTCCTTTTACTCGAGGATACTGTCTTGTCATTCTTCTCATCTACAATGTCTTTATTGATTTGGGCAAAGACTCTTTTCCTTGTGTATTCCCATTCATGTTCATGAATTCCCATTAATCTCCATTCCCATCCATCATGACAGAGAAATGTCTCATGTGTTTACTATTTCTCTTTCTACATGATATGAAATATGTGATGTTTTGAGTATGGTGGTTTTCAAGTCTATATCAGATGTATCTTTTTGTCTAATCTTTTTATTAATTTTCTTGATATGGTTTCACATGGCATCAAAGTTCTCTACCATGTGCTTTGCCGCACATTCTGGCATCGCTCACAGATTAGCCAGCAGGGATGCTTACATCTGTGATTTTCATTGTTGACTAGTATTATGGTTCCGCTAGACCACAGTACAATGTCCTACTTGTTAAACATTTTACCCTAATTCTCAAGTTATTTTATCTTGTTTTCCACATATTATTTTTGTTCTGAAATAAGCTAACCTGTTCTGATCTTTCTTAGGTTTGGGCGGAAGGTGGTCTACCTGTGGTGCTTACTCCAGCTGGGCATCGTTGACACTGCAGCAGCCTTCGCCCCCACCTTCCTCATTTACTGCATATTACGCTTCTGGGCTGGGTTGAGTGTCGCGACTATTATGATAAATTCTTTTTGTCTTAGTAAGTCAATAATTTGAGACTTTCATTTTCTCATGCCTGAATTGACTGTGAAATTACCCTTTGCCTGGAATGACAATTATGTACATATTTTCTTCCAGTGTCAGAATGGACAACATCCCAAAGGAAGTCTGTGGGAATAGTCCTGATGATGTCTTCCTACAATATTGGGCAAATGTTCCTTGGAGGACTGGCTTTTGCCATTCGAAAGTGGTACATACTGCAACTGGCTATGTCTGTACCCTTGCTTGTCCTCCTCTTCCCCTCCAGGTATGAAGAGTCTCCACATTCTTTACAAGAGAGGACAAGGTGATAACAGAAGAGCTATGTCACTGGGTATCTGTATGGTCCCAAATCTGGTCCCCATTAACACCCTTTGTGCCATCCAAGGAAATAGGATGGCCATTTAAGTGGAGGTTGGCACTATATGTCACCATTTTTGTATAATAGGCAGAAAATTGTCATGAAATAATTGTAATAGAAAAAAGTCACGGCTGTGGATGTGGCTCAAGTGGTAACATGCTCTACTAGCATGTGTGAGGCACTGGGTTCAATTCTCAGTACCACATAAAGATAAAATAAAGATATTGTGTCCACCTAAAACTAAAAAATAAATATTTAAAAAATCAAACATTTTATTATACTTTTATGAGGGCAGTATAATAATACATAATAGTGAGGATCATTGTGACATACTCATAAATGCATATAATATAATTTCCTATATCTCATTTTCCCTTACCTCCCTTTTGCCTGCCCTCTCACTCCCTCTGATTGCCTTCCTTATGGTTTCTCTTCTACATGTTTATTTTCTTAATTGGTGCACAATGATCATATATAAACATGGAGCTCATTGTGATTTGTTTATACATGCACATAGCACAGTTTGGTTAATTTCAATGCCCAGCACCTCTCCTTGGCATCCTTTCCTCCCTCATCCTTTTCTGCCTTTCTCTGCGATACTGTTCCCCCTTCTAGTCTCATGAGCTCCTTTTATTTTATCCATTTTCTTTCTCTCTACATTCCACATATGAAAGAAAATATTCAATCTTTGACTTTCTGAGTCTGGCTTATTTCACTTAGCATTATGCTTTTCAGTTCCATTTATTTACCAGCAAATAACATAATTTCATTCTTCTTTATGGCTGATAAAAGTCTATGTGTGTATATACCATATTTTCTTTATCTGTTCATCTGTTGATTGACACTAACAATGGTTTTATAACTTGGCTATTGTGAATTGCACTCTTACAAATATTGAAATTTATGTATCACTAGAGTATACTGATTTGGGGGTTTTGGCATAAATTTCCTAAGTCTGGAAATGCTGAGTCATGTGGTGGTTCCATTTCTAATCTTTTGAGAAATCTCCATACTGCTTTCCAAAGTGATTTTTACCAATTTGCAGTCCTACCAATGATGAATATTATTTTATTCAATTTTTTTCCCCGATGTGATTTAAAGACCAACCAGAACAATTGTAGAAGAGGAAAAGTTTATTTGAGTGCTCAGTTTCATAGGCCTTAATCCATAGAAGGCCAGCCTCACAGCTCATGGCTTGAACATGAGATATGTATCTATTGATTTTAAATTTTTGTTTCTTTTTTCCTTCAGCATTTTTTTGCAGTTTTTATTTTGTAAGTCCTTGGTTAACTTTTAAGAATTTATTCTGATTGTTGACATTATAAATGGAATTATTTTGTAATTATCTCTTCATGTTCTTCATTATTAGTGTATATAAACACCACTGACCTTCTATGTTGAGTTTGTATTGTGCTCTTTGGCTGCATTTTCTATTCATTAGCTAACATATCTTTTTTTTTTTCTGGAATCTTCAGGATTTTTTTACATGGAAGACCATACCATCTGCAAACAGATAGTTTTACTGTCTCCTTTTTAAAATATAGTTGTCTTTTATTTCTTTTTATTGCCTAATTAGAAACCTATAACTCTAAGTTCTATGTTGAAAATAAGTGGCTTGCCTTATTTCTGATCTCTGAGAAATATCTTTTAGTCTTTCACCATTAAGTATGATGTTCACTGACTTGGGTCCTACAAAAACATTATGATGTGCGAATTATAGATAAAAATTATATATGAAAAAATCAAAATGCAAATGGATGATTTATACCTTTTGATCCTTGTTTACTGATCTCTATAATTATTTTCACACATTAATGGCCACATATGTCCCTCATCTTAGTGAAAAACAAGTCCAGTGGAAAAGGAAGATTTGGTTAGAAATTACACAGCCACAATAATAAAGTATGTATAAATGGAAAGGCAAATGAATCTCAAGGTTGTGTGAAAATTAAGTAGTTGAATATTTACTGTACCTTTCTTGTCTTCTTTAATCAGGAAGTTGGTGGAGTCCTTCCGGTGGCTGATTGTCAGAAATCAGCTAGAAAAGGGTGTAAAGGAACTTAGAAGAGTTGCACACATAAATGGAAAAAAGAATGCTGAAGAGACCCTGACCATAGAGGTGATCTGGAAGGGGGACTGGGATGAAATGACATGAGCTCATAATCACACTAGGCTATGTTCCTGGGTCTCTGGGGGTGACTAAAGGGTCTGAATGAGAATGATGAATGAGCTCTTACATCTTGTCCTGGTTCTCCATGGATTCATTGTAGAGAGAAGACAATGAAAAAATATATCAATTATTTGGACATAGATATTGCAATTCATTGATGGAAATACACTAATTGTACACTACTTCATTGTTCACTATTTAAGTAAATCATGATCCCTTTTAAGTAAAATCATAAAGCCAGTAAGACAAAGAGTAATT